CCCCGCCGCTGCAGCGTGCCAGGAGCCGGGCAGCGCGGCCCCGCCCGGGCGCGGAGTCCCGCGGTAAGGACGCAGCGGTCAGTCTCAGCATCAGTCGGCTCCCTGGCAGCGGGCACCCGGCCGTCCTCGACCCTCGCAGGCGGTCCCGACCCGGGCGGTTCAGCACGGGACTTGCACGCGCCCGGAGGCGCCTCGCGGGCCGGTCTCCTGGGATTTACACCCGGTGGGGCGCTACTGTGGCCGCAAGAAAATGAAAAAAGGTCAAACCCCAGATTTGCGGCTTGAGCGACCAGCGAAATTCTGAAACCTCTGAAACACGCACAGCAGACAGGACAAACCAGGTTCACATGGGCGCTCACGCGAGGTTCCAACTGGGGGTGACTGTGAAAATCCCAAATGGGTCACTCTCACCTGGAATGTACATGAAGCAAATTGAAAACTGCATTTTTTTTTAAAGATTTATTTATTTATTCATACAGAACTGGGGTACAGGCCAGAGATGCGGAGGGTGAGAGGATTCATCAGAGACAGAGCGGGAAGCAGAACAGGCAGATCGACGAAGTACACTGCTGAGGGGAGCAGCGGGCGGCTCAGGAGAGGTCTGCCACGCCATGTGGTCACCTCCGGGGCAGGTGGGGATCGAACTCATGCGGAAGCGGCTTTAGTTTCTCAGTGCTGTGCTTTAACCCGCTGTGCCACCAGGGAGGGCCGAAAACTGCATTTTAATTCCCCTAATCTTTCCCCAAAAGGGAGGGCGGGGGACGCCATGAAGGTGAACCATCCTGTGCCTTCCTTCTGGCAGTTACTATTCCACGTATTTTATGGATAAGCCAGGAAACGGTTTTGTTTCTACAAATTTCAATGGAAAAATTGGACCTGATGGAGAATTAAATTTTCCTCAGTGTAAACACCTACCACTGTCAAGTTCTAAGTGCCATTTGCCGTGCAATCTGAAAGACCAGCTAACCACGTCTGCAAGGTACTATCTTGAAGAACCACTAAGCACAAGCCAACCCACACAGCATTATTTGCTGCCTCTATTAGTGATTCCTTCTTCATAGATTTAAAAAAAATTGGCAATCTACTGCTAAAGAAATCAGTCCGGGAACTCAAAGAGAAAAGTTAAATTTAAATGTGGCATCTATCAAAAAGTGAAAACCACTGCGTTAGTTTTCTCTTCTAGGTTGACATAGCTTTGTAATTCAAATTCCTCCATTAACTTTCCACTTTGTACAGAGATGGCAATTCTGTGGAGGCCGAACTAGCCTCATTCACTGATGTTGAGTTGGTTTGCTATTTTTAGCATATGAAAGTTCTTAACTAGCAATCCAACTGTTTGCACTACCACAAATTAACCTTGTGAGCCTCATTACATCTGGTAATAGTAATGCAATAAAATTAGATTTATAGGGTAAAACTAATTTAGACACAACATAGTAAGAGTTTTCACTTGTATGTAGTTTTTTGTTGTGGAATGCAAACTTAGTCCTTTAAAAATACGTAAATTTTCGATAATTTTTATTACATTTAAGTTGTAATCTCTCAGAACTTAATTTCTGGTGAGAAAAGGATGAGACCAGTGAATGACTGCTCCATCTGAGGTTCCAATTGCTGGAAATTATAGAACAACAGGTGCATTTATTCTTTTTACTCTGCCTCCTACCTGTGGTCCTGATTTTCTCCCTCCACTTAGGAATTCCAGAACTTCACAGCAGAAGGGTGGCCTGTGAAGGGTGGCATGGTGACTAATGTCCAGCCCGAACATTTAAATGAAGTGGTGGCCTCATTCAGCAAGTAGCTGCTGCCTGCCTTAGTGACACTAACATTCTAGAGTGCTAATGCATAAAACGTGGTGTCCGTAATTCAAAGGGCTTATTTTTCATTTTATCTATTTCTTCAGATTTAACAGAAATAACAAGTGGGACAGCAATTATTTCAACATCCTAATTCATGATGATCAAGCCATTTCTTTGCCCTCTCAAAAAACTGTTACTTTATAAAGAAAAACTACTGAATGGCAGAAATAGATTTAGTCAGTTTCCCACGCTCCTTACCAAGACTCAACCTGTCCCTTCTGTGGCCTCACCACTGGTGACAGTCAACAAGGACTTACCCTACAACTCCATTTGTGTTGAGGTTGAAGAGCTAACCATACTAAACTTACTTTCTTCTTTTCTCATCAACTGTAGCCTTTTTAAAATGGGAAGATTTTACTTTACCAGTCTTAACAGATATAAAACATGTCTGGTTTGCAAAAAACATGTAGAAACACGATATAAAGAACGAACCCAATCCACACTCTGATCGCATATACTGGGAACAGAAAAACCTCTGACAAGACTTCCAGCAGTACCTGGCTCATAGAACTGAGCTTTTCTGACAGCCTGACCAAGGTGCTTACACTCGAGAGAAACCCATCCTGGTCACTATCCTCCACTGTCTTTGCGTAGCCCAACGTGTTTGGAACTCTGTTCACACAGACTCACACAGCTCCTTCCATGCCCTGAGTCTGGTCTGCGCAAGTATGGTCAGTGCTAACTCCATCACTAGTGAGGGAAACCAGGTTTGCGAGAGGGTGGTGGGATGGAAATGTATCAGCCTCAGGAGCTCCTGAGGTGTTTCCTTCTCTAAGTGTAAAAATGTGAAAGGTTTAAAAAGTATCTAATATTACATGGCTTTTCAGGGAAAAGTCAGAAGTATTCAGCATCATAATTTTAAGGTACTCCGGGAATTCCTTCTTATTCCTTAGAACTTTGAAAAGACAAACACTAATTCATCTTTTTATAAAGAAAAAAAATGGTACTTACCAGGAAGAGGGTTAGATTTGGAGCTTTGAATTGAATGTTAGGACATTCCACTGGGAAAATGAATTTCCTAGTAACTACGTAAGAGCTCCTTCACATTGTTATTTATACGATGTCATCTTTATGCTTATAATGAACAAAACTTAGAGGGCAGTGCGCTTATGATGGCTACAAAAAGGGCTGACAGAGACCCTGTGACAGGCCTTTGTAAACCGTACTTGGCGGGTACGCTACTAGAATGTAAAGGCGAATTCCTCACAATGGCACTAGAGTACACACACAGTTAGGAGCAGAAACTGTGGCCACCCAAATTCAGAAGGTCACCATCAGGTGCCTAACACATTTTTGAATGGGAAGTGACTTAGTTTGTGGACTTCCTGCGTCACACAGGGCGAGAGGACCTGAGACCACAGAGAAAAGGCCAGGCGATAGTTTTGGAACAGCGGCCTGTGCAGCGGCTGTAGAGGGCCGATGAGTGAGAGAAACAGGGACCCAGGAGAAGCGGAGAGGATGGCGGAGTGGGCAGCTGGACCTGGCGCGACAGCGCGGGGGAAGACAGGACCGTCGGCTTTCTAACGAAGATACAAGAATTTCTAGATGGAGCACGAAATTAATGCTTCCTAAGAGCCAGATAAATACTGCTGCTTTTTAAGAAATCCAGGTAATGTAGAAACAGAAACCGATTTTACTGTATTTAAAATTCCTTTACCATTCAATACTCTTTGCACTGCAAACTAGATAAAGGAATTTTTTTAATAGCAACAATGAGCTTAAGTATCTGACTACATCACAGAACAAAACGGAGTAAAATCGAACATTTATCATTATCATTTTCTGGCGTATAAGAGTAAGACACTGTGGGGGGGGGGTGTGTGTGAGAGAGAGAGAAAGTAACAGGGAACACCCAACAGTTACTGCAAACAAAAAGTAAATTACATTGTCACACATCCCCTTTGTATATATTACTTAGTATTTATGACTCCCCAGTTCTCTCAAGAAGTGACTGGGGTATGTGAACTAAGTAGCAAAGTCATGGACTTTTGGAAGTGTTTTTCACATTCAACGTAACTTATTTTAGACCCAACAGACTATTTTAGAAGTTATCTAAGTGTCACAAACAAGCAACATGTATATACGGCAATTTTATTTCAATCGCACAAACGAAGTTAGCTTAGGAAATTTAAATGAAACAGTATGGTAAACAGCAAGGAACTGAAAAAAATCGAAAAAGGAAATACACCTAAAGCGTGAGAATTCAACATTCATTAGTGCTTCATCTTCAGCTATGACTGACACGGGATGCTTGCAGATTTTGAAACAAACTTTGAAATTACGATGACTATTCTGAAGAGATTTCAGCACCAGCACTAAGATTTGTACATTCAGTTGGTTTGCAGTTGACTTGTTAGCCATTTACATAGTGTATATAGTACAGGTTTGTCACAGGTCAGATCACAGTGTTGAGGAAAGAGGGCCTTCCTGTGATTGGAAAGGGCCCCTAAACTGCACTCAGCTTAAGATACCGGCATACATGAGCACATACACCATCATGTGGTTCCGAGGAACAGGTTTTGATCAGGAAAGTAACTTAAGCTTCCGTTTCCCGTTTTAATGACTGAAATCTCTAACAATGACAAAAATGTCATGTCGACAAATGTGGTTTAGTAATTCAATCAAAGTCTTGGAAAGCACAATTAGCAATCTGGGATAATGTACAACATAGCGTGATTGGACACTGGTTCTTCTGTCATCTTACACAGACCTCATGTTAATATCAAACCAAGGCACAAACGTTTGGTGCGTAAACCAGTTTCTTTTTAGGATCAGCATTTATTCTTGTAGTCGTTTCATCTTACTTTGGACCACCTGTTCCCAGTACTCTATCCTACTGTAGACTATTCAACTTAACCAACAAAATCAAAAGTGATTTCTGACCAGATTTATAGGAGACATAAATGTTTCTACCAGCAAAGTGTCTGCGTAACCAAAAGTACAATAAGAAAGATGAGAACGCCTCCTTTTTAGACGGTAGTACTCTGTAAGCTCGCTGCCTCTTTAATGCCTTTACTACTACTGTGTTGACAACGGAGAGTTGATAGGGAAAAAGAAAAAATGGGTGTCTGACTTATGACTGCGCATCCATCACAGATTACTCTGAAAATTAAGTTTCTACAGAAACAGGAACTATGTGAAGGAGGGAAAACAACTCCCTCATTCAAACCTCTCTGATGTGGTAATGGCTACAGTCTGTGGCATTTAGAAATGATGCACTCAACAAGCTCTGTCTTATGAACTGAGGTGGGAGAAATCTAGAAAGCAGATGAAAATGATCATTTCAAAATTTTCGTAAAACTTCTAATAACCCAAGATTTCAAAGCAAGTATGGCACATGACAACAAGCATAAATCAAGATGGAGAGCCTAGAAAACTTTATTTCCTAACATTTCCAAAAATCTATCATTGCAGCAGGTAGGATTTCTGCCCGATTTTAATCCTACGGTGTCAAAGAAAAGGAAGTGCACTCACGCTTGGTGCTAGGGAGAGGGCCTCGCTCCTTCTGCACCACCCAAGCCTCTACCCACTAAAACAATTTCAGAACTCCTCATTGGTTTTCCCTTAATGATTTCTGTGACCTTAATTGTTGCCACTGTTGTTCTTGTATTTCAATGTAACAAAATCCAAAAGCAACTTCCTCCCCAGGAGCACCGGCCAAACACCTGTGTAACTGCAGGGCCCCCACAGGGACTGAAATTTTGAGTTCCACAGTAAGATGTAATCCCTGTGAAGCTCAGAATCATGTTTCAGACCGTTGAAATTACTGAAGTTAAAATACAAATAGCTGAAGACATGATGTAAAAGATTAAGTACTTGGTTTTGTTAACATTTACCAATTAAAGTCACAAAATATTCCTCATTATTATTCATGCAGGAAACTGAGAAAAAAAGAGAGAGTGCAGAAATTAACCTTAAATAAAAAATTATTCCTTCCCTTCCTCCCATGCCCCTGTACTCTACAAAATGTTTTTCCCTGGGACTAGGCCTTGAAAAGGCCACTACACGTTAGTGTGACATGCATTACTGTCTGCAGTTAAAAAAGCTAATTCTGTGGTGACTGTAATTACATTATAAAAATGTCCACATGCATCAATCTAAAAAAGGTTGAAAACCTACAGTAAATCTACAATATATTGTTTTACATTTGACCACTGGTTTGTGTTATGTAGGAGTCAAAGATTTGGTAAAGCATTGTAACAATTTAGGAAGGCATCTAAATCTTTAAATTCTGGATGAATTTTATGTTTTAGTCTACAAAATTGCATGAAGGCTAACTCGAGAGACTTCCTATCATTCTAAAATTCCTCAAGCTCGACAAGTCATTTTCAGGACACTTTCTTATAAATATCACCCTCTGAAAGCACATACAATTCCATTTGTTTCACATTTTATGATCTTAACCTACACAGGGCTGATCTCAATTACTTACGGAATATCAAATATGATAGGAAGACAAACCTGAGAGAAACATTTACAATACAATAGCATCACTTGCTAGATTCTTTCATCAGCACTCTGAACAAAACTTCTTAAGCCTTTCTCCTCTTTATTTTAGCAATGGATTGTGGAAAATGTATCATTTTATCTTGACATGAAAATATGTCACTGCACGCTGATCGTGCCTGACGAGTTTAATGTTTTCTGCGTAACTGCTACAGGAACTCTTAGACTAAGCTCGTCCATCTTGTCGTAAAGGTCAGAAAAAAGCAGCAGACTGGGAGGGAAACAGCTAGATGCCAGAGTCATGGTGTCTGCAGGCTTCCAGAGTAAGTCGGTTTTTCCCTCCTCCCAACCGTTTGTCTCCGTTTTCTTCTTACAGCTCCCAAAATGCAGGGGTTTGTTGTTGTTGACAGTTGTTGTTTGTAGGTTTTCTTTCTTTCTTTCTTCCTTTCTTTCTCCAGATTATAAAGTCCTATCTCTCCTTAGTTTGTTTCTCTATGCCGTATTTGACTTGCTCAGTTCCTGCCTGATTGCTGGGTAGGAAAAAGGAAAAAGTAAATATAATTACAAGGTAAAAAAAAAAAATGAACAATTCATTCTTAAGATAACTTACCAGTTGGATTTTTTTGATGACTGTGTTTAAACACACAGAGAAAGATAACATGCACCTTACATCTTTCATTGCATACGTCTATTTTCTTATTACAAAGAAGATGCTTCCTTCAATACACGTGTATCTGTTAATTCTCCCCCTTTTATACACGCGATGAAACAGATTCTGTGGGCTCCAGCACGAGAGGTCAGAGGGATGCGAAGAAGGAGCAGAGGCAGCTGCACCTGCTCTCTCTCTGTACACACCCGGCAGCAGGAGTGCAGGAGCGGGGTTGGCGCCACCGTGCCAGGTAACCGTCATTCCACGAAGGAGCGAGGCTTCCCTGACCCCGGGGCCAAGCAAAGGGGGGACACGATCGAAAGCTCTTCTAAGCCTCCAAGGGATAGGCCATTTCTTTATTTACACAAGGACTTGTCTTAAACATTACTTAGAGCAGTAGCAAATCTACTAAGGCACTCACCATCAATGAGTTCTTCTTTTAGCTTTGTTAATTCTTTTCTCATTTCATCTAAAATGTCCTAAAATATTAAAGAAAAATATCAGGAACACAGAAGAAAATAATTGCTGAAAAGATTCTTACTCAGGTAAAATTTAAGGATATATGAACTATAACATGATTTTTCTTTTGAAAGTCACTATGTTTTAAAGCCTAACCTGTAAAGACTGTCTTACAAGTCTCCCCTTATCCAATCTTTGCTTATTCTAGCCTTGCAAAATCTGAAACAGAATGCTTTCTAAAGCTGCAATAATTCCCTTGTCATGCAGGGAAGGTATGATTCAGACAGTTTCTAGAAAAGATAACAGCTCTGCTTTTAATCTGGCTTTCTGGGAGCAGTCTGAGAGATGATACATAAAAAAAATTTCAAGGAAGAAAACAAGTGAACAGAATAACAGCTCTTGGCAAATCTGTCACCTGCTCTGAGGTACGGAAATCCCTTAGAAATCTCCACAGCTGCCAAACTGCGGGCCAGGGGCCTCGGTTCCCCAGAGGTCACTGAGAAGTGGCCGTGTGAGGCAGAAATGTAAGCGGGTGGGCCTGTCAGACCACAGCGTGCAGTGTGCTGTACCTGCAGCCGGCGTCTGAAATAAGAGGCAACTGGGGTGTGAAACATGCACATTTTAAAGATTTAGTATGAAGAAAATAATGGACGAGAACTCAATGGTTTTGAAATATTAGCCACACACTAAAACAGGGCCTTTGGCTGTTTTAAGTTAAATAACACACTAAAATGATTTCACCTGTTCCTCTGTAGTTACTCAATGTGTCTACTAGAAATTTTAAGTGTTCATGTGGTCCACGTTTTGTTTCTACTTAACAGTGATGCTCTGGACTCTCTTCCTCATTAAAACTGCTCCATCATTATACACTATTATGCAAAATCACTGTTTTCAAGTCCAACCTGAAATAGCAAACAACATCTCCTTATTAAAAATGGGCCAAGAAGTGTGTAACGCGGAAGCTAAGTGGGCTATGGCAAGATGACCGACTTCACAGGGTGAGAAGGGCCGCCCTCCGGGAGCGCTGGCGTGGGTTACGTGAGTTTGGTGCTACACACCTCAGCTAAATTAAACTCTTGTTAAAGATTCATCCTGTTTGTTTTTCATATTTTTAAAAAATTCATGTGAAAACTACCAGTTTAACCACTTACCAATGAGAAAACTAAGGCAAAGAAGTTAAGGCACAGACTGACAGATGTCACCATGTGCCCTGTCCCCTCCCTCCACTCCGCTACTCCACGGTCGGAAGCTACCACTTCTTTCAGAAGCCGCATTTAATACACAGGAAAACCAGGGGCTTGCTCATTAATGACCTCATCTTCCTTTTCAAATTAGAGTTTAGAAACTAGATTATCAGAAACTATTAGTACTTCTCTACTTAGTTAACCTTTATTTTGAATTTGGATTACTGTAACAGTGTTATTCTATCAGCCCCATCTGAACAGTTGCTAGTATTTTAAAAACGAGTGACAGGGCAGAAACGGGAGAGCTTAGATAGTGATGTGGTTCTGGTGCTGACCCAACCAGCAGCTGTGAGAAGCGGCCAGCGCAGTCCTCAGAACCCAGATCTGCAGCACGAGAGGACCCGCGGGAGCCGGAGCGGTGTCGCGCTGGTTGAACGCGATGACACGCGTGATGTAAGACGCTATCGACCAGATGGTCCACTTCTGGCTCCTGGGCATCTAAGCTAAGTGCCATTCTCAAAGGCCGCCCCGGGTACAGAGGAAGGCAAAGACTACGTTTTCATTACGGCCCGTCTGTACTCAGCCCTGGGAGCTGGCAAGTCACTTCATTGGGCTGCACCACTCAGCGTCCAGTCCCTTGAAACACTACCATTTTTTATAAAAATTTTCACCTCTTCTAGGAATAAAATATTCACTTACTACTCCTTCCACTCTTTCGCCTTTTGGTATAGAGATACGAAATAGAATGCCTAGATCTCCAAAACTGTGGGCGCTACTTTTTATTATTATCTTTCTAGACAAAGTTGAACTGACTTCATAGGTTTGGCTGTCTGTCTCACGCAGCAGGGACACGTGTTCACAATTCACTGTTAAGAATGTTCCAAGTTATGTCTCCTTGGTGGCCACCGAGTCCCTCTGCACCGTGCGTTTATAGACACCTCTGTGCGCCCTATTAGCCTAATTCTCAGAAGTGAAAATGCTGGGCTCAAAGGTAAGACATTAACTTTGAAGACCACAGATTCATTTGCCCAAGCCCCTGCTTAGAAAGAACATGCCAGAGTGTCTGTTTTCCTCACATTCTTGACCAAGCCGGCCAGGCTGATGCATTTTTGCCAGTGAGTGAAAAGCAGGAGCCCCCTGCTACGTCTGACCACGCTACGTCACGCTTTACATCTAAAACGCACGTCACTGAACCGCTGCCCCCCCCCCCCACACACACAGCTGGAGCTGATGTGGACGGACTGAATCAAAGAGGACGATTTGGAAGAAATCGTACAGTGTTAGTGCCATTTTTTCATTTATAGAAAAACATAACTTTATATCATGTCAAGGACATCCACGATCTGTCAAGGAGGTCTGTGGGTATTTGGAACAAGTACACATGCCGACTACTGCCGCTGAGAACTACCTGCTTCAACCTGTCGTAGTCGAGGGTCTCCGTCTGGACTCCGTTGGCACTGGGCTGCGAGGAGGGCGCAGATTTTGGTCTGTACAAATGAAATTTCCAGGGCAGGTGAGTGGGTAACACACAGAATGGGCTAAAATCAATACAATCTCACTAAGCCAACGCCAGATTTAAATGCCTTTCTTAAAGGAAACACACTGTGTTAAAATGTTAAATGTCAAGCCGCAGGACTGACGAAAACATAAAACGAAGCGCTTTCTGCTTTTCCCAGTGGTTCTCAGTTATTTGCGAAGCAATCAGGAAAAGGTGGCAGGGTGACGACTTCTCTGGCCAGGAGCAGAAGGCCACGTCCTGAGGCGGGTGACCGGCACACAGGTGTCCGCCAGGAGGGGCCAGGGAGGGGAGCAGCTGCACGGGCAGAGGCCGCGAGCCACGTCTCACTGCCTCCTGAGACCGCGGCTCGCTGCCGCACCTGCCAAAGACTGGGGACTGCCGGGTGCGCAGTTTACAGAATCTACGCCTGGGCTCGTGGGAGGAAAAACATTTAGTAAATACGGCTTCTCTGTCAGGGTTCTTCCATTTCAGACATCAAAATAACTAGGAGTGTTGGAAAAATGTTCATTAGGTTAAAAGCAGATCACGGCCCACCAGGTACGTGGCTACTTCCAAGTTTTAAGGAGACATTACGTGAGTAATGTGTTTCCTGCTGCTTCCAGGAACTTTCTTTTTTAAGACATACCGCATGTTACGACTACTTTCGACAGCTAACCTTCCAGTCTATTAAGTAACTTCCACGAAGAATGAGTGTGAGGGAGTAGGTGTATTTTAAGCCAAACTTTCAATATCGAACAAATCCGTCTTGATCCTCTGGTCAATGCCAGCAATAGGAGAAAACCCTTAGTGGAAAACCTGGCGTTTTAATGGGGGGCAGGCCTTTCTTTTCTGCTTTAGTATGTTAAGTGGCCACTCTTGAAGGGCCACAAATAAATGGAAATTGAAGCCATTAGTCAAGTCACGTATTTCTGTCTTCAGAGCACTAAGGGGAGGAGTCTGAACCGAGGCCACAGCAGTATGATGACTTTTCAGTTATGTCACAATTCTTTAGGGCATATTATCCCCTAAACTCACAGGCTTTGTTCTGAAGGGTCCGCTACCGAGCGGCCTGCTTTACTGTCAAGACAGCACTGCTTGCAAAGCTGTTATGAAGCAGGTTCCCCTACCACCCTCTCAGCTACCTGACGCTGTCTCTGTGAACAGGAGCGTGTCTTATGACGTGACGTGCACTGCTCCAGGCGCTGGGGCTCAGCAGATTTACACGCCACGCCTCTTTCCCTGCTGTGAGGGTACACCTTTCAACTTTGTTGAGATTAGCTAATAACGAATATCCCTGAAATTTATGTGAATTACTAAAGTATGCTATGAATACACCCATATTTACTTAATAATGCAAAATATTGCCATATAATCAACAATTGCAGAAACATGCAAATTATAAACAATTGAATTCATGCTAACATGCAATCCATCACCACCACCACCACCACCATGATGATTAACTAAAGGGGGGAACTTTTCATACTGAAGGAAAGAAGTAATCACCACTGTTTTACAAAAAGGTTTGTCGCACTATCCCAGGTGACCTACATACAAAAGCAGCGAAATAACTGAAAAGATTTACAACAGAGAATCGTGTTGCTAGATGCTACTTTTCTATGTACTGGGAAATTTTCTGAGTATCTTTTGGTCAGAAGAATTAAACCAATTTTAAAAAAGGGTAGGAAAAGCTATTTCACTGCTACAATATAAATATTTTATGTAGATTTGATTGCCTGACAAAATTAACTGTTATTAAATATTTTAATCGGCAGCAGCATGAAACTATTTTCGGTGATAACGACTTGGTCAAGTAGAGCCTGACTCCGGGGTCCTCACTCACTGCCTGAGACAACGCCTGCATGTCCTGTTTAGCGAATGTTCCCGGTAGATGAGACACACACTTTAAAAAATAAACGCAATGGACATACCGGCTACTTCTAACCTATGGGCTTCCACCATAGTGGATCGGAGCTTGCTACTTTAGAATGAGTGTTACCTTCAGATATCTATCCATAAAATAATTATTCTACAATAATTATTAAATCCCTATCTTGCCAAATTAATTAAAAAAAAATAGCTTAAAAAGCACTTGGGAATTGCAAAAAGTTGTTAGCTTTTTTAATTAAGAAAGAACTATATCCTTAGTCATCTTAATTAAGAAAATTAGGGTTCACCCTGGAAAAGCCGCTCGGGGTGCCTCTTAGGTGCCGTCACATCAGCCACAAGCCAGCTAGGAAACAGGGACTTTGTCAAAGAATAAACATTCACTATTATAGTCCTAATGTTGTATCCACGGTCCAGCACCAACAATATAGGATCTTCTACTCTACTTTTTAAAGGCGTTGTCTCATATTTAGCATCATAAAAAGGGCAGTCTTTACAAGAAAATACAGAAGCCACAAAAGCCCAGCTTTATGCGGGCTCTGTCCTTGCGTTTCCTTGCGTTTCCGGTCTGTCTATCATCCACAGTGATCTCCACCTAACTGCAAAGTGAAGGCAGGGAAATGGGTGTCACATTCTTCTCATTAAAAGAGCTCAGGATTTTTAAAAAGGCACTGCAAATACAACACAAAATGAAAAATCCAGTCCCCTGCCACCGCCCTCGTGGTGATTACCGATCCGTGTAGAAAAGCTCAGCCCTGCCTGGTCATGTTATTTAAAAGTCTCAAATCACAAAGCCACAGCAGGATGATACCTGTGTAATGAATCATAGGACCTGTTGTCAAAAACAATCTGATTTTTCCTTGGAGAATCCCGTCTATGAAGGGGAAAAACCATTTAAAGGGGTATACAATAGAACTTTCAAAAATAATACTCGTTATGTTACTATTTTATAGGTGCTTAGTCACAGCAAGTAAGACAGCTGAAGGAGTTGATTAGCTTTAAAGTTATCGTTTTTTTCCCCGATAAAAGTGAAGATAGAGACTAATTCCAGTTATGTGAGGATACTGTTTACACAATAATTACAAGGAATAAAAAAATACCATCGTGGCAAAGATTCACAAATATCAAAAAACATTTTTTTTGTTTTTGCTAGCGTGAACCAAAGCTAGAGACTCAATAAAAAGCACAGTAAAGTCGTTGCTGAAACTATATCATATGAACTCTTCTTAGAAAACATGTAAAGGATTTTTCCATCTTGAATACAAGCTGTCAGCTCTTTATAGAAACCATATGAAGAATTCACAAACTTTCCCAGTTCCAGTCCACTCTGTTTTAAAGCCTTTTTAACTACAATATCCTCGCTTACACTTCATTGACGTCTTCAATGCAATATAATGTAACAGCCATTTACATCACAGGATATTAATCCATCTTACCATGAGCACAATTTTGGCATGAGTATTCAGAAGGAAGGAGGTGTCCACCTACCCATACAGAAGTGAGGGACACTTCAATAAATCATAAATGGCCAAGATGATTATTTTCAGAAGGAACATGAAAGATGACTTAAAAAGAAAGTCCATATAGTTCGTAAGCTTTCAAGCGGGTTTTAGTGTTTCATGGTTTAAAACCGCTTGTAGCAAAATATTAAGACACACATACCCTGGGTCAAGCCTACCAAAAGGTATATGAGTGTTCAGGACGCAGTCAGGCTTTTCAGAATCTCTGTTTTGTAGAAGTGAGAAAACCACCCAACCAAGTAAAAATATGGTCACAATGCACTAACAGACACTAAGAACCTATTTTTGATTGGCCTATATAAAAATATTTTTTAGCTAGTGACCTTTAGAACATGTATTAAGCATTCTTTAGAAACTGAAACATCTTTCAAGGAAACTACCCTTTCCTTGACCACATGAACTCAAACACACTAAAGAATACAATTCCGCTGGAGAACACCTCTCCACACTCCTGCTATGCTACCATATGACTTTTGCCATAAATTTACAGGCTTTTGGCCCTACCCATGACGGAGGGATGGAGAGCAGGGGCCAGAAGAGAAAGAGCCCTTCCCGGCATAATTCACATCTTCAAAGGACAAACAGCATACCACAGTTCTATTCTGATCTGTACTCGAAAATCTGACTTCAGAATGTGCTACTGAAGCAAATTTATCCCAATTGTGAAACTCAGAAGGCCACCTCAGTTATGCACTTGAGAACCATACATGTGCAATTTTCTCCTCTATTAATAAAAGCCATACCCACCAAAAGCAGTTCCTGCAGTTTTTCGAAAAACAAGTATTTTCATCGTCAGTCACTTAGAAACTAAAAGCTTCCAGAAATTCAAAAGGCCAGTGTCTTTGTGGAGCTGAAGTAACTGTGCCAGCACCAAATACTTCCGACCAGCAGAAACACACACAGAAACTAAACCCAACTTTTGGCTTAGGGTAGCAAAGAACAGATCTATGACAAGATAAAGGCCGTCCCTTGTTCCTGTAACTAGAGCCACTTTTTATGAGACAAAAACAAGGCAAGCAGAGCAGAAAAGGTAAAAAACTTTTGTCTCTAGATATGTATTTCTTTTCCTGAGAAAAACGAGACAGTGAAATTGTCTCATAAGCCAAGAAAAAGTTCCATGTACGCTCAAGTTACAGTTCAGTCTGTCCAGCTGCAGGACGCCGAACGTCCTTGACGCTGCTCACGTGACCACTTGTAGAAATATGAAGTAACGAGCCTGTTTCTGGCCACTGTATCTTCTAACTGGATGATAACTAGAAGTTTTAGCTGAGTGAGAAATAAATATTTCTACTTGATGCAAATTCAAAGTTGCTCTTCAGTTCAAAACAGGAAAGTTCTGTGCAGTAACTGAATGGATAAACAGGGAAGGGTGTTCCTGGAACTGACGGGGAACTGTGACCACACACCGCACAACATGACTGCTCAGCGTCAAGTTTCTGGGGTGACAGGGAAGGCTGCGGGCTCGCAGGAAAGTGCTACAGCAAGCAGGGAGCAGCAGCGCGTTTCCAACGACTTGGGGGCGAATGGGGGGTGCAGAGGCGAGAACCAAGCCCCTGTGGCAAACGTCAGTAGTCGGTGAGTGGGGCGATGGGCCACTGCACTACTCTTTCTACTTTTTGGTCATTTCTAAATAGAAACAAAACTGGGTGGAATCAAAATGACCATAAAACTGCAGGCAACCTGGCTACTTCTGAGCAGCACCAGGCAGTTTAGATGCCACCAGTGGCACCAGAAAGCGGTCCGTGCCCAGGGAAAGCTGCCGGCCTGGCGGAGCCGTTACACTTACAGCCGCAGGTCTGTCACCCGATTTGCTCTGCACTCAAAAGGCAGAAGTTGACTTCTTTTTAGAGTCAAATGTAGGATGAAAATTAAGGGACAATGATACCTGGAGATAACAGGCGACTTGCTGCCGTTCACTGTGTTTGTTCTTTCCCAGGGTTTTCTGGTTGGTTCTTTAAAAGTAAAGAAGACAGTTACTAGTATGCCCTGTGTGCTCCTGAAGTTACTAGAAAACAAATAATGCAATACCGTTATACGTGTGTTATGCAGTAAGTGCAATTTTTTAAACTTTTAATTCTGATTTTCAGTTAAATCTATAAGCTTCAAATTTGTATAATTTCAAATTTGTATAATTTCATGACAAGAAAGTGTGACAGGTTTTCTTAGGGAAAACTGAGATGGCTAAATCTGAAATACTATGACCCTCTCTGTCAGGTGTGAGGAGTGCCTCCACTAAAGGTAATCGAGAGTAAGGGTAGAGTAATTTCAGTTAGAGTGGAATGTTATAAGGTATTTTAAATTAACAAGGGTAGCTAAAATGTATTAGCATGGGATGGTCACAACTGTGCTATTATCATAAGTTTTAGTACCAATAGTAAAACAAAAAAATATAACATGCAATGTGTTCATATAATTCAAGAGCTAATTTAAATTCAAACTGCTTACCTGAGAGGAAAAAGGAAACTTTATACATTTCAGAATCACGCAAATTCCGTTATACTTATCTGATTCTCAAACAACCAATTCTTGGGGTTCAGCAGCCAATTCCAGTTAAACAGAGCAAATCCATTTACTCTGGCCCCCGGGCACGGCTCCCTGGTTAGAGCGCTGGGCCCTGCGGCCGCCCGGCTGGGGCTGGCTAGCGGCGCCGAAGCCAGGGCAGCGCCACCAAGGGGGCGTCGGCATCG